TGTAATCCCAGTTACTCAGGAGGCTGAGAGGCAGGAGAATCTATTGAATCCAGGAAGCAGAGGTTGTAGTGAGTCAAGATCATGCCACTGCACTCCAGCCTGGGTGACAGACTGGAGTATAAATCAATCAATCAATCAATCAATCAATCCAGGAAGTTAGACTCCAGGGCCTGTGCTTCCAGAGGAAAGCACAGGGTATTATCAGAGCACAGAAAGAGGTACCCGACAAGGGAGGGCAAGGAGGGCTTCCTTGAGAACACATGTGAGGAGAGTCCAAAACAACCAGGCAGAATTGGCAGAACAGGGGAGGAAAAGGCATTCCAGACAGAGGGAACAGCACGTACAAAGACTGGCAGCAGGAGGCCATGGTGTGTTAATTACTATTTAGTGAGTACCAACTGTGTGTCAAGGACATCTAGAAACCTTCAGGGATTGTCATCATTATCAAATGACTGGCTCATCTGGGATGAAGAGACTGGAGAGAGAACAGGCTGGAGGCACCAGTCCACAAAGCTCTTTAAAACCCAGGCTAAGGAGTCAGGACTTTATGCACAGGACAGTGGGGAGATCCTGAAGGATAAGCAGAGAGGTTCCTTTTTGTTTTCTTTCTTTCTTTTTGAGATAGAATTTCACTCTTGTTGCCCAGGCTGGAGTGCAATGGTGCGATCTCAGCTCACTACAACCTCTGCCTCCTGGATTCAAGCGATTCTCCTGCCTCAGCCTCCCGAGTAGCTGAGATTACAGGCATGCACCACCACATCTGGCTAATTTTATATTTTTAGTAGAGCCAGCTTTCTCCATGTTGGTCAGGCTGATCTTGAACTCCCAACCTCAGGTGATCCACACGCCTTGGCCTCCCAAGGTGCTGAGATTATGGGCATGAGCCACCGCACCCAGCCAGGCACAGTTTCCTAATCAAGTTGTACCTCAGTAAACTCACTTTGAACCATACTAGTTGAAGGAATGGAGGCACACAAGGCTGGAGGGCATGCTAGGTGCCCAGTCAGGAGATGATGGTGGACCGAAGTGGGGATTGGCAATGGTAGGAGGGAGAAATAGCCAGGTTTGATTACTTCATTGTAGGGGAGCTCACCATCAAACCAGAAGATTGGTGGGGGCCAAGATACCAGCCGAGCCTCAGAGGGTCAAGGGTCTGCAATGGCCCAATGCCAGACAGTTGGTCACAGTCTGAACAGGTGAGTAGATGGGAGGAGAAAAACCCAGCAGGAGTTGGCGGGGACCCAGCAGCAGGAAAGGACTCCAGCCCCTGGGGGACTGATGAAGAAAGAAAATTTTCCGCTGGACAGCTGGGGACAGGGGAGACAATGGAAAACTGGAACCAGAAAGGTGGGTCCCTCAGGCTGGCAGCCAGACTGAGGATGCTCAGCTTTGAGAAAGGGATGGAGTTCCTCTTCCTCCCTGGTTCTAAATACCCCCTTCCATGGCAGGTGGATTCTGTTTTTGTTTTTGTTTTTTGAGATGGGGTCTCACTCTGTCACCCAGGCTGGAGTGCAGTGGTACAATCTCAGCTCACTGCAACCTCTGCCTCCCAGACTCAAGCCATCATCCCGCCTCAGCCTCCTGAGAAGCTAGGCCCATAGGCATGCACCACCATGCCTGGCTATGTTTTGTATTTTTGGTAGAGATGGGGTTTTGCCATGTTGCCCAGGCTGGACAGGTGGATTCTGTTTAATCAGGTTGGGTGAAGAGGGGTAATGTGGTAAAAGGGAAAGGACAGGAGCTTTGAAGTCAGAGAGAGTGAGTTGAATCTCATCCTTGAGCCACTCACTAGCTCTGTGACTCCAGGTAAGTTGCTCAACCTCTCTGAGCCATAGCTCATTCATCTGTAAATGGCCAGGAATCAGGATCAGAGAGTTAAGAAACGTGCCCAATATCACATTGCAGTACTTTTCCAAACTTTAGTCTTGCATCTTCTGCACAATTTTTCCTCTGTCAAATGACCACCTATACTATTTTTTGCTTAATATTTTATTTAAATTAGTCTCCTTTATTTTTTTTTAACATTAATCAATATACTCTTTTATTTAACAGGTGGGCTAGGCGCAGTGGCTCACGCCTGTCATCCCAGCACTTTGGGAGGCTGAGGTGGGCAGATCACTTGAGGTCAGGAGTTCAAGACCAGCCTGGCCAACATGTTGAAATCCTGTCTCTACCAAAAACACATAAATTAGCTGGGCATGGTGATGCATGTCTGTAATCCCAGCTACTCGGGAGGCTAAGGCAAAGGAATCGCTTGAGCCTGAGAGGCAAAGGTTGTAGTGAGCCAAGATCTGTCTCAAAAAAAAAAGATGAGGCCTCACTATATTGCTCTGACTGGAGTGCAATGGCTATTACCCACAGATATGATCATAGCACTGTACAGTCTTGAACTCCTGGTTGCAAGAGATCCTACTGCCTCAGGCTCTCAAGTAGCTAGGACTACAAGAACACATCTGATTCCAATGTATGTTTTTCTTTTTCTTTTTTTCCACATCAGATAGGTAATGTGCTGACAATATAACAAGGTTTGAGTGAGGCACATCTCACATGAGAGTGAAAACCAATCATCACGCTTATGAACTACAAAAGGATGCCAATTTACTTTTTTTTTGAGACAAGGTCTCACTCTGTCATCCAGGCTGGAGTGCAGTGGTGTAATCACAGCCCACTGCAGTCTAGACCTCCCAGGCTCAAAGTGAGCCTCCTGCCTCAGCCTCCTGAGTAGCTGGGACTAGAGGAGTATGCCATCATGCCTGGCTAAGTTTTTTTATAGAGACAAGATCTCACTATGTTGCCCAGACTGGTCTCAAACTCCTGGCCTAAAGCGATCTTCCCACCTCGGCCTCCCAAAGTGCTGGGATAACAGGCGTGAGCCACGGTGCCTGGCCTCAATTTACTTTTTTTTTTTGACGGAGTTTCGCTGTTGTTACCCAGATTGGAGTGCAATGGCATGATCTCGGCTCACCACAACCTCTGCCTTCTGGGTTCAAGCAATTCTCCTGCCTCAGCCTCCCGAGTAGCTGGGACTACAGGCGCGCACCACCATGCCCAGCTGAGTTTTGTATTTTTAGTAGAGACGGGGTTTCACCTCGTTGACCAGGATGGTCTTGATCTCTTGACCTCGTGATCCACCTGCCTCGGCCTCCCAGAGTGCTGGGATTATAGGCGTGTGCCACCGAGCACGGCCCTCAATTCACTTTTTAAAACAGCTTTGTTGAGATGTAATTCGAATATCATCCTGCTCACCCATATAAAGCTTATGAGTCAATGGTTTTTTTTTTTAGTATATTCACAGAACTGTGCAACATTATGACAATCAATTTAGAACATTTTCACAATTAATTTACATTTAAAGGAAACTTTACATCATTCTCATAAGTAGAAAACTTGAATTATTTGCTACAAATGAAGGCAAAACAAAAATAAAGCAAGGAGAGCTGGGCAATGTTATTAAATACTATCTAGTTAGTGCTGCCTGTGAAGTATCTGAGCTTGAGACTTCTCTATTTGCCAAAAAAGGAGGATAAGAAGCATTAAAGAGTTGTTGAAGACACACCAGTTCTAAACTGAGACTCTCTCTTTGATATCATCAGAAAAATAAAAAGAAAACTGAAAAGAAAAATTACTTTTTCAATATAATTCAATACCACATCTCTGAGCCATCCTAAATCATATTAAGTCTACGACCCCACCTGCCTCCTCCAGGTAATTTAAGTGACTTGCCCAGTGTCACACAGCTAGGTAGTGGCAGGCCAAGCCTAGAATTCAGGCTTCTTCTTCTTTTTTTTTGATACGGAGTTTCGCTCTTGTTGTCCAGGTTGGAGTGCAGTGGCGTAATCTCAGCTCAGTGAAACCTCCACCTCCTGGGTTCAAGTGATTCTCCTACCTCAGCCACCCTAGTAGCTGGGATTACAGGCACCCACAACAACGCCTAGCTAATTTTTGTACTTTTGGTATAGATGGGGTTTCATCATGATGGCCAGGCTGGTTTCAAATTCCTGACCTCAGGTGATCTGTCCACCTTGGCCTTCCAAAGTGCTGGGATTACAGTCATGAGCTGCCACGCCTGGCCTAATTCAGGCTTCTTAACTGCAAATGCTATGTCCTTTCCAGTACATCATAGTGCTCTTTGCAATCATGATTTTAAATTAGGTCAGGTGCCTAATGTGTATGCTAGGCAGTCCTGTTGCAGATTTATAAAGCACAAATTTTACAGCTAGAAGGCACATCAGAAACAATCTAACTAATTTCATTTTACAGATGAGACAACCAGTAAGTTTCTTCACTTAAGCATGTTTAGAATTGCCTGTCAGTCAATCAGCTGGAACATACAACCAACAATATAGCTATAAACAACCCAGAATTACAATGATCTTTCTCTGGTTTCAGCCTTAAATCAAGCTTCTGGAGGTCTCAGCCCTGTCACCGGGTCCTGGTTTAGCTTCAGTCTTGCTCTTTTTTTTTTTTTTTGAGATGGAGTCTGGCTCTGTCACCAGGCTGGAGTGCAGTGGTGCGATCTCAGCTTATTGCAACCTCCACCTCCCGGTTTTAAGCAATTCTCCTGCCTCAGCCTCCCAAGTAGCTGGGACTACAGGCGCATGCCACCACACCCAGCTAATTTTTGTATTTTTAGTAGAGATGGGTTTTCACCATGTTGGGCAGGATGGTCTCTATCTCTTGACCTCATGATCCGCCTGCCTCGGCCTCCCAAAGCGCTGGGATTACAGGCGTGAGCCACTGTGCCCGGCCCAGTCTTGCTCTTTAATTTGGTCTGTTCTCATCTCTACATGAGTAGTTTTACCTTGACCTAAACTGCCTAGGTGGCTTTAACGATCACAGGGGTGGGGGAATTTGTTGGTGGATTGAAGAGTGTGTTATATGAGAAAGAAATGAGAGCTTGTCAAGAATTTTGGAGGGTTTAAAATTTTATCCTGCTTGCAAGCTACCAAGTGAGGCTGCGCAGTTTCATGGATGCTGGCAGAAGACACAAGACTTCTAGGTGTGTTCGAGACAAAAGGTTTTATTTACTCATAGCAATAGCAATAGCAAAAATATCGACATTATCTTGTGCTGCTTTCCTCAGTCCCAGTTCCCAAAGGCAATGCAAAGGGGGCCAGGTGACATCTGTATACACAGCAAAGCACATCACAAGAGAGCACAGCTTTAAGCTTGCGGAACCAGAATTTTTTTTTTTTTTTGAATCAGCATCTTGCTCTATCACCCAGGCAATCATAGCTCACTCAACCCTCGAACTCTTGGACTCATGCAATCCTCCCGCCCCAGCCTCGGTGTGAGCCAAAGCACCCTGCTCAGAATCTTAGCTATAGACAGTAAGCATACTTTGCTTTGCTCTGGGAAAGAAGCTCTCTTAAAAAGTTGGTCTGAGGCCGGGCGCAGTGGCTCAGGCCTGTAATCCCAGCACTTTGGGAGACCGAGGCGGGAAGATCACCTGAGGTCAGGAGTTCGAGACCAGTCTGCCCAACATGGTGAAACCCCCGTCTCTACTAAAAATACAAAAATTAGCCGGGCCTGGTGGTGGGCACTTGTAATCCCAGCTACTGGGAAGGCTGAGTCAGGAGAATCACTTGAACCTGGGAGGTGGCAATTGCAGTGAGCCAAGATCATACCATTGCACTCCAGCCTGGGTGGCAGATTCCATCTGAAAAAAAAAAAAAAAAAAAAGTTAGTCTAAAACAAACGGCAGTGACTCTGCTTGCAAGGCATGCAGACATGGAAGAGAGACCCATGGAGAACTGTCTTCCAACAAGAGTTAGTACATACAGTCTATGGAAAGTGAGCTCACAGTTCTCTGCTATACTGGAAGGCACAGGGTGGGGAAGACAGAGAAGCAGAAGCCCAAGTCCACTAGTGCTTTCTGTTCTATATTGATTCTTATTGGTTTCGGTTATGGAAAGGGCATTTGGAGTCTTGCTTGTGGATTTTGTCACGTGTCTTACGTGATGTATATAGCCCTCAATTCACAACCTTGACAGTGTTGAGGCAATTCAAATCATTCCTTTGCATAGCTATTAGAAACCCTATAAATCATTCCTTTGCACAGCTATTAGAAGCTCCATAAATCCACAGATGGGAGAAAGAATATAACCTTTCAAATGTTATCTGCTTCCTGAAAATAATGCATGCTGGGAGAACTCACGGTGGCCACACTGCAGTTGGTTGAGGGATGTTCACCCATCTCTTGTATCATGTTTATCAATCCCTAAAATAAATGTGGTAAGATCTGACAGTCACCATGATGCAGTCAACAAGATCCTTGACTTGGTCTAGCCTCTCATCTGAAATGAGGACTACATGGGTCATGAAGTAAGATGTTATTTGTTATGTGGGGTCTACATCTGAGGCAGGTATTTTGTATCTATAACCAAGACCTTGAATCCAGGCCTCTGGCTGTCAGGACTAATGGCTGTTCATTTTATTCCTCTGTCTAGAGAAGAATAAATTCCTAGGCTAAAGAAAGGCCAGGCCAGGCACGGTGGCTCACACCTGTAATCCCAGCACTTTGGGAGTCCGAGGTGGGCAAATCACGAGGTCAGGAGTTCTAGACCAACCTGACCAACAAGGTGAAACTCGTCTCTACTAAAAATACAAAACTTAGCTGGGCATGGTGGCACACACTTGTAATCCCAGCTACTCAGAAGGCTGAAGCAGGAGAATCACTTGAACCTGGGTGGCAGAGGTTGCAGTGAGCTGAGATCACGCCACTGCTCTCTAGCCTGGGCGACAGAGCAAGACTCCATCTCAAAAAAGAAAAAGAAAGAAAAAAAAAAGGCCAGGTGCGGTGGCTCACACCTGTAATCCCAGCACTTTGGGAGGCCAAGGCAGACGGATCACCTGAGGTCAGGAGTTCGACACCAGCCTGGCCAACATGGTGAAACCCTGTATCTACTAAAAATACAAACATTTGCCGGGTGTGGTGGCCCACATCTGTAATCCCAGTTACTTGGGAGGCTGAGGCAGGAGAATTGCTTAAACCCAGGAAGTGGAGGTTACAGTGAGCCAAGATTGCGCCACTGCACTCCAGCCTGGCGACAGAGCAAGACTGTCTCAAAAAAAAAAAAAAAAAAAAAAGCCAAAGCAGCTGAGGACAGGAGCTCATTGATACTGCTGGAACCATACCAGGACCTGAGATGTGGACCTGTGACCCAGAGGAATTCTGTGGCATTCCATGGGTCCTCAGGCTCTTTTCAAGCAACTCAGATGGGAGTTAACCTATTGACTGGACTCAGGCAATGAGTTCCTGGCAGGTGAGTCAGTGGCCACACCCTCTAACTGGGGGCAAAGGGCAAAAATTACGTCAGTAACACAAGGCCAAGCCAGGCACGGTGGCTCAAGCCTGTAATCCTAGTGCTTTGGGAGGCCGAGGTGGGTGGATAACCTGAGGTCAGGAGTTCAAGACCAGCCTGGCCATCATGGTGAAACCCCATCCAAAAAAAAAAAAAAAAAGAAAAAACACAAGGCCAAGCACAATGGTACAGGGCAAAGACCATTCTAGTGGGATGTCCTTAGCTAGTGATTCTAAAAGAGTGGTATGGGGACCATAGATGTTCCAGCAGATGTGGTGGGCTGCTCTAGATATAAATATAAATATAATTTAGAGCTGGCTATCCAAAGAGGTCCTTCTAGCTCATTGCCTCCTGGGGAATTCTGTTTGGAATTGGAAAGTAAAAGGGGATAAATTAGAAGGATCATGGAGTCTTTTGTCTTGTCCAAGCCCTCCCTAAACTACACCTTTTATACACAGTTCCTTGGAGCTATTGCAAAGAATTTCAGTTCATGAAGATCCCTGAAGTTCTGCAGCCTCCCATGGACTCTATATACTGCCACACACCTGGTTGCTATAATCCCCAGATTTTACTACACCCAGGAGAGACAGACTTCCTTCTTCCCAAGAGGAGCTGTGGACCCTAAAGTCATCTCACAAATGCCTAGCAACCTCTTGGCCTATATACCCAAATGACACCTCCCACATTATGCTAAGATTGATGTCCCAGGACCAATATTTATTACTGGAAGAGGGCTGTGAAAAGACTTCCTCTCCACTGTGCAGTGGGCTCTGACCTTTGCACTGTGCCTGCCAATAAATATTCACCTATCTCAGACAGGAAAAAGCACCTTGTGTGGGGTGAAAAATCCGGGCTCCAGCACGACTGGCCAACCTGGGTCCCAGAATTGCCATGCAAGTTGCCTTGATCCTTGAGTTTGTGTTTTTCTATCCATTGCGAAAGATTTATCGACAAACTCTGGGTGGTTGTACAGCCTTGCTGGGCTCCTGTGGTCAGCAAACGCACAGAATTTCTACAGCATCTTTGGACAGCTGACTCTGGTTTACTTTTGTTAACCATTTCTTTTTTTTTAAGAGGTGGAGTTTTGCTCTATCGCCCAAGTTGGAGTGCAGTGGTGCAATCTCGGCTCACTGCAACCTCCGCCTCTGGGTTCTAGCAATTCTCCTGCCTCGGCCTCCTGAGCAGCTGGGACTACAGGCTCACACCACCACACCCAGCTAATTTTTTGTATTTTAGTAGAGATGGGGTTTCACCGTGTTGCCCAGGATGGTATTGAACTCCTGAGCTCAGGTAATCTACCTGCCTCAGCCTCTCAAAGTGCTCAGATTACAGGCATGAGCCACCACGTCTGGCAGACTCATATCTAAGAAGGCTTTGCCTTACCCATTTCTACACTTGGACTCCACACTGTGGCCTGCTAAGCTAACAAGTCTGAGAAGGGTTGGGCGTGGTGGATCATGCCTGTAATCCCAGCACTTTGGGAGGCTGCGGTGAGCGGATCACCTGAGGTTGGGAGTTCGAGATCAGCCTGACCAACACAGAGAAACTGGTTTCTACTAAAAATACAAAAAATTAGCGGGGGTAGTGACACATGCCTGTAATTCCAGCTACTCCAGAGGCTGAGGTAGGAGAATCTCTTGAACCTGGGAGATGGAGGTTGCAGTGAGCCAAGATTGCACCATTGCACTCCAGCCTGGGCAACAAAAGTGAAACTCCATCTCAAAAATAAAACCAAAAAAATCCAAGGAGAATCTTTAAGAAATAATGTGTGAATTAGAGATCATCCCTAAGCAGGAGATGACAATCAGATTGTACTTTCAAGATAGTGTCTCAGTGCCAGGTATGGTGGCTAATGCCTGTAATCCCAGCACTTTGGGAGGCAGGCAGATCACTCAAGGTCAGGAGTTCGAGAACAGCCTGGTCAACATGGTGACACCCTGTCTCTACTTAAAAAAACTAAAAAAATCAGCTAAGGCAGGAGAAGTGCTTGAACCTGGGAGGCAGAGATTGCAGTGAGCCAAGATCGCACCACTGCATTCCAGCCTGGGTGAGACTCTGCCCAAAAAAAAAAACAACAAAATGATACTGTCTCAGAGTTTGGGACTCAAGCCATTGGCTTTCTAGCGCTTGTTACTTTGGAAACCTTTGGGTGACCTGGCATCCTGGGACTTTGCTTGGCCCACCTAGTTTGACTTTCTGCTCAGATTCTTACATGAAAACCAGGGCTTCTAATACCTGGTGTAAACACTTCATGGAGAATACCACATTTAGAAGACATCCCTGCATAAGTTTTCTATGGCTACTGTAAAAAATTACCACCAACTTCGCAGCTTAAAACAACACAGACTTTTTTACTTTACAGTTTCATAGGTCAAAAATCCAATGCAGGTTTACCAGGCTAAAATCAAGGTGTTGGCTAGATCATGTTCCTTTCTGAGGCTCCAGAGAATTTATTTCCTTGCCTTTTCTGGCTTCCAGAAACTATCTGTATTTCTTGGGTCATGATCCCCTTCCTCCATCTTCAAAGCCAGCAATGCTATATGTCTTCAACCATTCATTCTTAAATAATCACATCTCCCTCTGACTCTGATTCCTCTTCCGCCTCTTGCTTCCACTTTCTAAAGAACCCTTGCGATAACAATGAACCTACTTTGATAACCAAGGATGATTGCTTTATTTTTTATGTATTTATTTTTTGGGGAAGTGAAGTCTGGTTGAATAATTGCTTTATTTTAAGGTCAGCTAATTAGCAAATCTTAATTGCATCTGCAACCTTAATTTCTCTTTTGTCATGCAACCTAACATATTCAAATATTCATTAGGATATGAACATTTGGGAGAAGATCTTTATTCTACCTATGCAGTTCCCTTCTGAATTACTTTTGGACAATCAGAGGTAAGTAAATGAAAAGACTTGTTCAGCATCTGTCTTCCCAGCTGGACTGTGTTTTAGGGGGTGGGGGTCAAGCCTTTAATTTAGATTACATCATCTTTTTTTTTTTTGAGGTGGTGTTTTGCTCTTGTTCCCCAGGCTGGACTGCAATGATCTCAGCTCATTGCAACCTCTGCCTTCCGGGTTCAAGTGATTCTCCTGCCTCAGCCTCCCAAGTAGCTGGGATTACAGACATGCACCACCAGACCTGGCTAATTTTTTATATTTTAAGTAGAGATAGGGTTTTACCATGTTGGTCAGGCTGGTCCTCAACTCTTGACCTCAGGTAATCCACCTGCCTCAGGCTCCCAAAGCTCTAGGATTATAGGCATGAGCCACTGCACCTGGCCATAATGTAGATTACATCTTAAATGTGCAATTTATAACTGATCCAGTCCTCCTCATAAGCTGATGATGGTTGGGGGGATTTTTTTTAAACTTTTATTATTTTATAGATTTTAAAATACCAGATACTGAATTTTTTTTTTTTTTTTTTTTTGAGACGGAGTTTCATTTGTTACCCAGGCTGGAGTGCAATGGTGTGATCTCTGCTCACTGCAGCCTCCGCCTCCTGGGTTCAAGCAATTCTCCTGCCTCAGCTTCTCGAGTAGCTGGGACTACAGGCACACGCCACCATGCCCAGCTACTTTTTGTATTTTTAGTAGAGACAGGGTTTCACCATGTTGACCAGGATGGTCTTGATCTCTTGACCTCGTGATCCACCCACCTCGGGCTCCCAAAGTGCTGGGATTACAGGCGTGAGCCACTGTACCTGGTGGTTGGGGGAGTTTTTAATTGACAGTTTGAGAGTGTGAGAGACATGTGATGTTGATATCCATGTAGACGCCTTTGTCTGGTAAATGATTTTTTTTTTTTTTTTTTGAGACGTAGTCCCACTCTGTTGCTCAGGCTAGAGTGCAGTGGCGACCTCAACTCACTGCAACCTCTGCCTCCTGGGTTCAAGAGATTCTCTTGCCTCAGCTTCCTGAGTAGCTTGGATTACAGGCGAGTGACACTGCGCCCAGCTAATTTTTGTATTTTTAGTAGAGACAAGGTTTCACCTTGTTGGTCAGGCTGGTCTTGAACTCCTGACCTCATGATTTGCCTGCCTTGGCCTCCCAAAGTGCTAGGATTACAGGCGCGAGCCACCACACCCAGCATCTGGTGAATGATTTACTTATTTAACTGAAGCTTATAGAATGCTTATATGTAAGAGCTTGACAAACTAATTTGATTCTCACGACAACTTTATCAAATATGTGCAATTGTTATGATCATCCTTGTTTTAAAGATAAAGAAACTGAGGCATAAAAATACCAGTAACTCATGCAAGGTCAACAGATAGTATGCAGCAGAGATGGGCCTTGCAGCAGGGCCATCCTGAATCCTTGTTCCTAAGCACCATACCAAGCTGCCTTGTCCTCTGGGTTTCTGCTTACTCTTTAGGCCTCGATACTCTGGTAGGCAAACTTGTGGTCAGTTCTTCAGCAAAGCCAACCCCCTCCCGCTAACACTGGTTCCTCCCCCTTGCAACTTGATGCTCATTTCTCCTTCTGTTCTCAGTGGTACAGACCTGTGACCACCTGTGATCTTGCTGTAGGGTCATCTTACCCCATTAGGGCCCTCCGATACACAGCAGGTTGTTGGCTTCCAACATGATACCCATGCCATGCAAGAATCAGGGGGACAAGCCTGGGCACAGTGGCTCATGCCTGTAATCCCAGCACTTTGGGAGGTCGAGGCGGCTGGATCACAAGGTCAGGAGTTCATGACCAGCCTGGCCAACATGGCGAAACCTGTCTCTACTAAAAATACAAAAATTAGCCAGGTGCAGTGGCAAGTGCTATAGTCCCAGATACTCGGGAGGCTGAGGCAGGAGAATCGCTTGAACTCAGGAGGCAGAGGTTGTGGTGAGTGGAGATTGGCCATTGCACTCCAGCCTAGATAACGAGATCGAAACTCCATCTCAAAAAAACAAAACAAGGCCGGGTGTGGTGGCTCACGCCTGTAATGCCAGCACTTTGGGAGGCCAAGGCGGGTGGATAACAAGATCAGGAGACCAGCCTGGTCAATATGGTGAAACCCTGTCTCTACTAAAAATACAAAAATTAGCTGGGCGTGGTGGCACACACCTGTAATCCCAGCTACTCAGGAGGCTAAGGTGGAAGAATCGCCTGAACCTGGGAGGCGAAGAGTGCAGTGAGATTGTGCCATTGCACTCCAGCCTGGGCAACAGGGCGTGACTCTGTCTCAAACAAAATAAAACAGAAAAAAAAAAAAAACAAAAAGAATTGGGGGACTCAGGAGAGCTTAGCCTCAGAGCTTCTTTTGCTTACTCAGGTTTTCACCACCAGGTTCACTTTGGCATGGCTGCCCCTGGTTGGATACAGGTTCTTCCTAGATCCCTAATGGGGAGCTGGGTGAGAGCCCCCTCGGTGCGCAGAGCACCACTCATTAGGTAGTGCACCTGTCCAGACCCCATCCGAGACCTGGAGAGGAGGAACAGGCTTGAGACCCTTCTGACCCTCTTCTCTCCCCTTTCCCCTTCCTACCACCCAGCAGGCCAGAACGGACATGGGACTTTCTCTAACTTAGAGTTGGCCTTGCTATTCTTCGTGGAAAGGGCCTCTGCTCTGCTAAGAAAGGACTCCAGGAGCTGGTCATTCAGGCTTGGCCTTTGCTTTACTAAGGAGGGAGAACCTGGAAGGATTTGGAAAATCTCTTAAGTCATAGCTAATCTCTTCAGCTATACAGTGGGACACCAGTACCTTGATGTCTGGCCCATGAAAGACATTCAGTGTGTGGTAGTTATTTAGCACTTCCTCCCTCTCCTCCCCTCCCACTCTCTGTTTTCCTCTGTTAAACATTTCCCAGCTCCTTGGTTTTTTTTTTCCCCAGCCTAGTTCCTGGGGTCTTGCTCTTGTTGCCCAGGCTGGAATGCAATTGTGCGATCTCGGCTCACTGCAACCTCTGCCTCCCAGATTCAAGAGATTCTCCTGTCTCAGCCTCCAGAGTAACTGAGATCACAGGCATGTGCCAACACACCCAGCTAATTTGTGTATTTTTAGTAGAGATGGAGTTTTACCATGTTGGCCAGGCCCAGGCTGGTCTCGAACTCCTGACCTCAGGTGATCCACTTGCCTCAGGCTCCCAAAGTGCTGGGAATACAAGCGTGAGCCACTGTGCCCGGCCTTATTTATCACTCTCCAAACTCAGAACTTTCACACTTCTTTGTCTGATGTAGGAAATTTGTTTTACATTTTGGCTCTTCATGAACATTGTACATAACTGAAACAAATGCTACACAAAACAATACTTATTACTACTTAATGTAGTACATCCAGTTAATTTTTAATATATTCTTTTTTTGTAAAAAGAAACACCCTGGTGGTGACCCATAACCCCTCTCCTCAGACAGACTTACTTGCCCCCTTCTCTGAGATCTCATAGTGCTCTCTGCAAAGCTCAACTCAAATACTTCTCATACTGCATTTTAATGTATGTCATTCTTTCCCATTAGGGATCTGTCCTTTTCATCTTTGCATCCCTAGCACATCCACTAGTAGACACCCAGTGAGTATTAACTGAAGGAGTGAGTGGAAAATGCCTGTCTGTGTGCTCAACAGAACAGAAAAGGATGGTGTTTCCCTCTATTGTGATACACGATGCCTAGTGTGGTGTCAGAGAGCTCAGACCTTGGTGTTGAGCAACCTGGGCTCAGGGAGGAGTTACTATGGATGGGAGTATATACACCTGCTGCAGAGAGGACCTAAATGTGTAGAGAATGAGGACCAGAAACTTTAACCATTTCCCAGCTCCTTGGTTTTTTTTCCCCAAACTGATGTGTTTGCATCCCCATGCTAGAATGCCTTTATGTCCTCCACAGTAATTTAATTATATAAAACTGACTGTATAGACTCAAAATCTGGGGCATTTGGCATTCTTGCAAAGCCAGACTCTAGGAAACATGCTCATTGCTGAAGACACTGGATGTGGTTTAGGTAGCAAAGCAAATGACCTAACAAGCAATATATGTGCTGAGCCTAGTTCCTGTTAAATTAAAAGATTCACGTTCTGGCACATCCACAACCTCACAAGTCATAGCAACCGGATGACGGCATGGCAACACAGCAGCTGCGGCCACTGCACATGAGAAAAATCTGAGCCTAGTGTCTCTGGAGGAAAAACAGAAATGGCCTCTACAATTGCCGGCTTGTACTGGATTGACTGAAGGAAGGGGGCCATGGGGGCAATCACAAGTAGATGCCTGCCCTGGTGGTAACTGCAGTATGACATCTCTCCTGCTTCCTGAAACTTTGTTTTATATTTTAAAAGTAAATAATTCGTTCCAGCCAGAGAGGAAATGTTGCTGAGAGAAAGACACCATCACGTGGACAGAATGTTCTCCCTCACCCTGGCAGCAGTGGGGAGGTGATCCTTATCAGAGATAGTCCACGACTTGCTCTTTAACAGCAGGACCACAAGGCTTTCTTCCTAGTTTTTTGACAGCCCCCCCAAACCCAACCAAAATCACCTACCCCTTCTGGCTACCAGAGCTGAAGGCCCTTCTTGCAAACTCTCCTTCTAGGATGAAGCCCTGACTCCACAGCCACTGTTTGGGCCAAGTCCTAGGGATCAGGGTAAATGCCCGGAGGAGGAGGAAGAGGATGCCTGGACAGATGTCAGTTCTGGTGACACAAAGACATCTGCATGTGCTGTCAGGTAGGTGACACCCAATACCAGGGCTGCCTGGGACCAAGCAGCAGTCCACACCCCCTGACCTAGTTTGAATTTGAGAATGACCCTTGCTCTGCAGAAGGACTGGAGCTGGGCCTTCTGTTCTTGAGGTTTGTGTCTTGCACTTAGATCTGGCTCTGGTCCCTGCTCTCCTTTCCATGTTCTATCAGGAAGGCCGTAGAGTGTTATCACTGGGCCCCCATGGATTCTCTATGGATCTGTGTTATTCATGGCCATGTAATGAATTCCTTAAAACACAGCAGCTTAAGACAACATTTATTATCTTATAGTTTCTGTGGGTCAGGAATCCAGGCAGCTTAGCTGGGTGCCTCTGCCTGAAGGGCCTGAGGGAGGCTGTAGTCCAGCTGTTGGCAGGGGTTGAAGGTCTTATCTGAAGTCTTGATTAATAAGGGGTGAGGGAGAGGCATCCTTTTCCAAGCTCCCTCAAATGGTGGTTGACAGGCCTAGTTCCCTTTCTACTGGCCTGCCAGTAGTTGGCTTCCCTCACAGTGAGTGTTCCGAGAGAGCAAAAGGCATAGAGAGGACCCAATATGGAAGCTGAATTTGTTTTTATAACCTAGTCTCAGAAGTAACATCACATCATTGGCCATATTCTATTAGTCAGAACTCAGTCAATGGATTCAGCCCACACTTAAGGAGAGGGGATTATACAAAAGTATGAATACCTGGAGGCAGAGATCATTGGCAGGGGCATATCTTAAAGGCTGTCTACCACATTGTTCACACGGTACCCTGGTACTCCAGCAACTGCCACCCTATATACAGAAAAAAGCAATGTATGTGTAAGTGTCAGGCCTTCACATGTTTACATTGTCTGCCAATTACTCCTGAGCAGGCAGAAATACTGAATATTCATGAAACTGTGACTGAAAATTTGGAATCACATACGGAACAAAAAAATATTCTGTTCTTGTTTTAGCAAATATAGAGTATCACATGATTGCCTTTAGAAGCCTGGCTGACATATTCTCTCTACTCATTGGTTGCCTTAAGCAGAATGCACTAAGGAATTACTTCTATTTATTCCAAAATTGAAATGGACAATCCTTTCACCATCTCCCCACAATAGTATGATGTAAGAAGAATTTCAGAGAAGTTTAATTATTGAGTCTAATGATCCGTTTATTTCTGAAAGCAATATTATTTTTCTTGCATTGCACATTTTGTATTTATAATGTGCCATTAATATCTTAGTAAAAATCAGAACTAGGGCGTAGCAGCTGCAACGTGGAGGATTTCATGTTGCTAGGAGAGCTTCGATCTTTATACTTCCTATCTTTGGGTGAGTCTGTGGCTTTCCATGAGGGATTAACACACACCTGGGGATCATTTCCCAAATGTCATTTTTCATCAGTCTTACATCCACCTTTCTGAACAAAGCCTTCACTCAAGTCTATGGTTTCCTGTGTTTTCATAAAAAGACGAAGCATTGGAAGGGGGAAGTTTTATCTGGCCAATGTGCTAGGAGAAGCGGTATTTAGGGAAAAAAGGAAAATTGTTGAGCCCTAACTGTTGCTTTTGAACCACCTGTTAAAAGGTCCCTGTTTTCCACAACAAGCTACAATGAGGCTAATGTTTCTGTTATGAAAGCCCTTCACTGCAGTTTCGAATGTCCGCTTTTTTTTTTTTTTTTTTAAACCACAGCAAAGGCTAACCCCATTTTTTCTCCAGCCTTATGGGATCAGGAATTCTTCCTTGAAGACTGTTGTTTAACTACGTGGTTGCTACTTATGCAAAAGGTGGCTCTCTGTTGTAGTTTTTAATAAGGTGAGCACATTTATTTTGAGCAATGATAAACTTCAGGATCACTATTGCCTGAAGCTGCCCTTCTCAGGCCTCTACCCTACCCTCTAAATCACTTTTGACCGGTGATGGAACACGGAATGCATCAGAGTCAATACTCTGTGAGTTGAGTGTAAAGGAGAGATGAAAATCGCGGGGGAGGATTAGAACAGAAACTACTCTGCAGCCCCAGTTTGGGCTCTGAACTAGCCCCCTGAAGTGTGATACCTGGTAAACGTCTTGCTCACTTATACAACCCATAGAATGACGACGGGCATCATACAGACTTTTAGAGAGAACGTGGGGACAGGGACCCTTGTTTTAAGGCCCACTTAAGGCATTATTTAAGAACACACAGAGCACACTGCTTTCTGACATGCCCTTTTTAGCCCAACACCAAAGGGAAAAACTTTTTCTTTCGCGTCCCCCACCCCTCTGTGTACTGGTGTTTCTCCTGGAACACTAGCTCTCCGGGGGGCCCTGAACCCCAACACCACCTTCCAGACCAGCCTGGGAGCAGGGGACTCCAGAGCGGCGACCCACATCGCACTTCGGCGCGGAAACCACGCGGCTGGAGCTAGGCTTCCTTCCCAGGGAGGGTGCAGGTTCGGCGGCGGGCAGCGCAGGGCTGCCCGCACCCCCGCATCCGAGGGCGCGCAGAGTGGGGAGACGGCCTCAGGGGCCTGGGGCGCGCGGAGCCGGGGGCGCGGGCGGGGCGGGCGGCTGCAGGGCCTGGCGCGCCACCGCGCGAGCTGCTGGGTCACCGCCTGGGCCGCGCCGCTCGCTCCGCAAGGAAGTGACGACTGCGCCGTCCCGAGAGCAACAAAGTTTGAGTCTGCGGGTCGCGCTCGTCTGCACCCCGCGCCCCTCCGAGCCTCCCTGGGATCCGGCACGCAGGTGAGTCGCGGGCTCGCCGCCCCCTCCAGCCGGCGCCGGTGTGGGGCTCGGAATAGTTCTGGGGTTCCGGCTGGGCCGCGCGGGCGCGGATGTGGCTGGCCGGGTTGAGCTGGGCGTCGGGGTGCGGGGGCGCTTCAGTGAGGGAGCTCCGCAGCCCGGGTCTGGGCTCCGTGCTGCGCTGGTGTTGTCGCCTCTTTGCTGCGGGACTTCAAACAGCCAGGGCTGCAGCCGGGCCAGCTCCAGGAGCCGTTGGTGAGAGTAGGGGTGGGAGGAAGGGGCTTTCCGGGGCCTAGGTCTGGAGCCAGCCCTCCGCCCCGCGCCCCCATCCCTGCAGGCTGGGCGCAGCCAACTCGTTGCTTCCCTGGGAAACGACCTCTTCATTCTGTCAGCCCTCGTCGGGGGCGCAGGAAGGAAGTTAAAGGAACTTTCCCCCGACTTTTATTTGCTCGGCCTTCCTGGGACCAAGAGCAGAGTAGCTGGGAAGTTTGGGAAAACAACCCTACTCATTTCCAGGAAACAAAACCGGAATTGTCCCCAAGCCCCCTTGAAATGCTCCTTACTCCCCCTCCACCCTCCTCCCGAACCTGACAGTGATCGCTAAGGCCTAACACTTTGCAATTTAGCCATCAAAACTGTCAGCACACCCACGTACATATGTGAGTGTTTTCTATATAAAACTCAGAAACCCGCTTCCAGCGGACTTTGTGGCATCTCGTTCTTTTCTGTTTCCTAAAACTGCAAAGGCTGCAGGAATGTGCATGGGAACTTTGATGGTGGTTCCCGCCGCCCTCGGTAGCCTCGTGGCGCAGGGTTTTTTAAAGAACAGCTCAGAAATTAGTGACATCCCTGCAGAGTAACTCGAGGCTGGCGGCCCGGGCCAGCGGTGAGACTGCAACTGTAGCGGCGGCAGGGACACGTTGGTGTGTGCAGGAAAGTGCGTTCGAGCCGTGGAGACTCGAGGTGGGGTGTCCTAGAGGTTGAATGGTGTAGTTCCTAGCAGCAGCTTCCTGCCGGCCTGTAATTACAGCGTGATTGCACAGTCAGGCATTGTTGGCGTGGATGTTTATACACAGGCTATTGTGCAAGACCTCGGTGGTGGCGAACAAAACGCAGCTTTGCCTTGCAAATGCGCAGGATAGATCTGGCTCTGAGCTGCAGTCTCCAAATTCTTTTTGCCCTTTAACCCTAGCTAGGTGATTTAGTTCTTTCCCTCTCTCTCACTTTTGACGACTTGCCCAAAACCTGTGATGTGGGGTGGACTCGGGAGGCTACTACACTCCTACCTTCAGCAGCCTGAAAACTCTCCGAGGAACTGTACCCTTATTTGCCTTCAGAGAAAATGTGGAATGACGTCAGCAGGAAAAGGAGATGGGAGATGGCTATCAGCCTCTCTAAACGGGAAAGCTGTTTGAATTAGCAAAATTGCACGGGTGGCTGGGTTGAGGCTGAGTTGCAAAGAGAACTCGTCAGACCATGTGTGACTGAGCCTGCGTGCTAGACTTTAAGACTGGAAGTGTCAGCTGCAGAAACTTAGTAGGTGGTGGGTCCTTAATTCCTTTATTGTGTTCTGGGCAAAGGGGAAACTCGTAAGTGCTGGCACTTGGTGTGTCTGTGCTGGTGGTCTGGATCTGGGAGGAGCAGAGGAGTGATTCATGCACATTTTCTCCAGAGGAGCCCCAAGGCCTGCTTTCTTAGCAGGGACTGTGGCACAGACCAGGGCCGGGGTCCGCACATCTGCAATGCTGCCTTGCAGGAACGGAGCCAAGCCGGCAAGTATGGTAAGAAGGCAATCAGTTTCTTGTTGAGGGGAATAACTGTATAGAGAGATTTAAAATACAGTTAAAAAAAAAAAGCATGTATTGGATTTGTGCAGGGCCATTGTTTTCACATTCTGAATCTCAACCTGATTACTCCCTGTCCTAGGCAGGAGATGCTCACAGGCAGCACTCGGACCAATTAGGTTGCTATGTGGCTAGGTGGTACCACCTCATGCTGGGCATGGGCAGCCTCTCTACTCAGAGTGGCGGGCACTGATGATTCCAGTGCACTGGAGTTTCTCCATGCCTGGCCTTTCTTCCAGCCAAGTATCTGAGCTTCACTTGGAGGAAAAATGCTGTTTTGCGGCCTCGTGCCAGGTGTGTGTCACGGGCACAGTGACCATTTGTCAAACCAAAACATTAGGGTACAGTCCCTGGCAGGTACCTGCGTGCTTCTAGAAACTCGAGAACAAACATGTAAAATCAGGACAGTTCTGGAAAGTCTGGCATGTATGGTCACAGTTGCCACAGGGGAATGAGGTTTGAGCAAAGCAGCGCTATGGTCGGAGTCACCCCAGGTTGCACAACCCTCTGCTCTAGAGACATTTAGTTTTTACTGAACTTGACTGTGAAGGTTCTGATTAGCTGGATCACCTGACCAGGACTGCCATATGAGGGCCTGATGGTGCCTGGTGCTAGTCTTGGGGGGCAGGAGAGGGGAGCATTCCCTTCTGACCCCAAAGCTTGAGTTTGCAGTCCTCTGTGTTAATGTAGAACTTACAGAGACTGAAAGTGCACCAAAGCCCTCCAGAGTGTGGCTGGGAGAGTGGAGGGGAGGGGCCCCTTGCAAAGGCCAGAGAAAGAGGGAAGCCAGCCTCCCCAGAGCTTTGGAGCCACCTGGAGCAGTGCAGGCCCCTCACCTTCAGTTCCCTCTGGCTGATTTTTGTGTGGAACTCTGGCCCTTTCTCTGGCTTGCTCAGCTTTGCCTTACCATACAGGGAGCCTGCCCCCAAGTTGCTACACAGAGACAGAATCTTAATCCTGACTTCCTCCTCCACCTTACCTAAATGCTACTTTATGACTTGTGTTGCTGTCCAGTTCACTGCCCCTGAGCAGCCCTGTCTGCTTCCTCGCCATGCACAATTAGGAACTACCGTGTAAAAGCTCTGATTCAAAACTTGACAGGGATTTAAAAAAGCTTTATTGTTCTAAGAGGAAAACATATTGGAGATAATTAGGGAACCCAGCAACTCTGGCAGAAACCCCGAGGTGCTGCTGAGAGAAGCCGATGCAGGAGTCTCCCAGAAAGGGTGGGCTTCAAAGGGTGGCCGCCCAGGGCCCAGTATTGCTATTTCCATTCATCTGCACCTTCCTGGCTGCCCCACATCCTACACCACAACCCAGGGTTTTGACATCACAGCTAACCTCCAAAAAAGGAGGCCGAACACCCCCAGCTAAAGAGGGTATTCCAGTCGCGTAAAAACGCGCTACAGTTTTCCAGACACCTTGGCTGGCAGTTCTGTCCTAGAGATTTGCTTCCTTTTTAAAAATGTGCCCCTCTTCATTTTTTGTTCTTACTGAAGCATCTCTTTGTGAGCCCCTTAAACCTTCTTTTTTCTCGTCTGCATGACACAGGGCAAACGCTTTACGACTTACTGTCTCAAGTGCCACTTGAAATTCACACAGGGCTTTGAATAAGCTTCGGATAAAGTCCTGCTCTGTAATCTCACTTAAAATGCCTCTTTGCCAGGGTCACCTTCCTGCCCAGCAACCTTCAATGGCTCCCCACTGTCTGCATGGTAAGGATCAAACTTCTAGGCCCTGGGCCCTTCTCCGTAGGGGTCTGCCTTTGCAGCTCTCCTGTCCTCTCGGCTCTGACCCAGTGACCCACTCTAGGTGTTTGGCCAAACCGCTGATGGCAAGCATTCCTACCTCCTGTGCTTCTCCAGAGGCCTGGAATGCCTCCTTTCTCTCATCCATGTGGCGCAGTCCTGCTCCCTTTCCAGTCCAGTTTGTGTCCCTCTACTTGAGAATTTCTCCCTGTCACATCCTGCGAGCGTCCCCCGGGACTCCAGCAACATCAGCCTGGGCCCTGTGCTGAGGAAAACCTTGAGGCCAGGACTAAGGATTTTCAGTTTCTCTTTTGGGACATGACTTTGATCATATGCCCTGTTCAGCTCAGTAAGTGAGCCTTTGGGTGAATAAATATTATAATTTTTTTTTTTTGAGACAGAGTTTTGCTCTTGTTGCCTAGGCTGGAGTACAATGGTGCCATCTCAGCTCACCGCAACCTCTGCCTCCTGGCTTCAAGTGATTCTCCTGCCTCAGCCTCCAGAGTAACTAGGATTATAGTTATACGCCACTACGCCTGGCTAATTTTGTATTTTTAGTAGGGACAGGGTTTCTCCTGTTGGTCAGGCTTGTCTTAAACTTCTGACCTCAGGTGATCTGCCTGCCTCTGTCTCCCAAAGTGCTGGGATTACAGGCATGAACCACTGTGCCTGGCGATAATTTTCAACTAAACTGGAAGCCCCTGTTTTATATATCTTTGTATCTCCAGGCCTGGTGCCCCACTCATAGCAAGTCTCGATATATGTTTTATGATGCTGATACAAAGGGCAGTGGCCATCAGATTTTGTGCACTTGAGTGTAGGCACACACACCCAAGCCAAGCACAAAGGCCATGGTTCCTGGTTTTAGTCCTGAACATGAAGCCAAGCCTGCCTCCTCTGCCTGTTAGCCGCTGTCAGCCTCCTGGCTTTGCACCTCATTGTTTTGCTCCATTTCCAGCATCTCTTTCCTGAGTGTCAGTGTCTGTCCAGCTTCGGCACTCCTTTTGTCCCAGTCAACCTGCCTGCCCCGTGATGCCCTATGCCTCTGCTCTGGTTCTGAGGGAAGATGGTTTGTTACTGGGGTTGGCCTGGCCTTCTGAGGAACCAGTCTGTTAGAAGAAGGTGGGACCAGCTCGCAGGCAAGATTTGTGAAGACAGCCAGGTGTGGTGGCTTACGCATATAATACCAGCACTTTGGGAGGCTGAGGTGGTAGGATCACTTGA